GCAAAAAAATGTTTTCATATAATGACAGTAATACATAAAGATCATATATCATTATAGACACAAACTATTATATTTCAGAATACGTAGGAATTTATGTAGTAGGATTTTCATGACATTTTGAAAACGACTAATTATTGTCATATTAAACTTTTTACTGTAAAAGTTTTCAAATAATTTAATTTTTAATTAAATAAGAGGTTATTTTGGCCGTAATTTTTTAAATAATTGATATTGTTATTTTAATTAATTATAAATTTAAACTTTTTATAATTAATAAAGGATTCAATTTGCTCCTATAATGTAATATTATTTTAAGCATAATTTGTAGCTAACTTTTGAATACTTTTAATTATATTTTTTTTTACTTTTCCACACTGTTGGAAAAATTTGGAAAATGTCAAATTTAACATAAATTGCAAACGGTCCACTCAAATTTTTTAATTAGATTAACACAAGCTGTATATGTTAAAAAGTTAAAAATATTATGTATATGAGAGAATAAATACAAAAAAATGTCACATAATTTGGAAACAAACCAACATATTTTTTGTGGAAACATATTTTTTTGTTAATTAGAATTAAGATTTATAATATGTGAAATTTATCAAGCTTATTGATTCATTATAGAATTTACATTTTAAAACACTTTATGTTTATGTTATTTGTTCACTTATTCATAAATTGTGTTATTTTGACATTAAGAAATGTCGAATATCATTTTAACACGTAATCTTTAAATAACATTCATATTATGTCAATTTAACACTCGAATATGTTAAAAAATTCATCAGAAACTAACATGAATGTGAGTGGACGGTTTAATTCAACACAAATACACAATTTTTTACTGTGTACACGAGTTTATAATTGCATACAGATTATTATAATTTATTAAATTTACTAAGGTAGAAGTTTAATTGAAAATTAACTAAGAAATAAGAATAAGAAATATAATATTGTAAAAATTATAAAAAATTAAAAAATTTTTGATAGTACATATGATAACAAAAATACTTCTATTTATTAATTACCTTCTTAATAACAAATCACAGACCTCTATATTATAAATGATTATATGTCCGAGTTGAATGATACCATTACCGTAACATAATAAGCGGATGTTCTCATGAACTTAAAAATATAAAGTAATATTAAAATGTATATTTTTTATATATAATTTTGTGTATGCAAAATTGAATAAAATATTTTTATATATTTTAGACATTATCAAAAATGGAAATTATTCAGATTAACAGACATCGAACCAATGACTTTGACCTTATCAAATGTCAAGGCCATAACCTTGTGTGACTTTCAAAAGATTTTAGCTGATGGTCACTGTACATTCAAAAGTTATTAACAAATTAAGTTTAAAAAATTATGTCTTATTTCTGCTATATACATATTTTATATTCATATGATTTTCCACACGAAGGAAGTTCCACCTTCACTTTCCGTCTACCTCGGGGCGTACGATAGCAGAAATAAGACATTATTTTTTAAACTTTATTTATTAATAACTTTTGGACGAACATCTGTGACCAGTAACACCTACAATTTTTTGAAAATTATCCAGTATCATGACCTTGACAACTATGTCAAGATCAAGGTCATCCGTCAATCTGAATAATCATCAAATAAATTATTTATATAAATTTGAGATTTACTTATTTTTGCAGCTAATATTTATGTACTGAATTTTATCATACCGAGCTGTAACTTTCCAAACAGAATATATATAATTTTGCCGCAGTTATGTGATACGGTTTGTGACACTTCATTATTAATAATAACAACATTTTTTTTGCTTCTAAAGACATTTGATACCATATTCCATTATATCTAAAAATTATATAATTTTTAAATTAATCATCATTATTTACATTAACTACAATAATAATCAATAATTTCAATAATAAATAATTAATTACATAAATAACTTACGCGGCAACAGAAATTTTAGAACTGTGATCTATTATTTGCTGTCCTAGCCAGCTATTGAAAAAAAATCGAATAGATTGAATGAGTACAAGCGGACCGTTTCTTGCCAATTCCGTACGAGTCACAATCTGCAAAAATTTTATATTAGCGATTCGTTTTGAAACAATACGAGAATATGTTCCGTCGCAACATGTAATAGTGGACCAATAGTTTATTAAATAGATATTAATTGTGTATTAAATGTTTATAATAACCCTAACACATCCAGAACATTGAAGTAGAATTCCTAAGCCAACGTCAGTGGAAAGACATATTGCGAACGTCGTCTCAATTAAGTAGATTAATCTATTGATAACAAATAGAGATAAGAAAATCATATTAATAATATTTTCCGATAGATCTTAATTTTGCTCAGAACAAGAACCTCTCTATTCTGATTTGTAATTGTATACAATGCACCATGTTCTCAACGTCTGTATCTCCTTTAGATGTGGAATTACGATTGAAACATTTTTTCGATTTATCGTATGCAGCCAAACGATTACTATAAGTATATAATCATATTACATGGAAAAGTAAAATTGTATTTTATTATAAATCGATAAGTAAAATTGTATTTTATTATAAACCAAAGCAAAGTTAGAATACCTCAATATAGCTAATGTACCACAGGTATATTGCAGCAGGGCGAAATAGATGGTGTCGGTTGCAATTACTATCATACCGCATACCGCGTATCCTATGAATGTAATTGCCAAAAGAATGTAATAATACTTTTCCATATCCAAGAAGAACTCTGTCGGGTGCGGCATTCGCTTTGATCTTGTTACATTTGACATTAATATACTCTCAAGTAACGGTATGGTGAGTGGTGCTGTCACAAAACTGGCTATGCTTGTACTTGCCAAAACTGATAAAAGGAAACGCATAATTGCATTATTGCTTTGCATGATTGCTTAGAGAAACAATTAATGAGTATAATACTTATCGTTACACGAAAAAAACGATTACGGTTGCCACGATCAAAAGTCGCCCATTAATACATTTTTTAATGGTTAAAAGAACTATAGTACAATTGTATTATATAACCGTATAAGATTGGCATATCTTGTCAGTTATGGCTGTAAAAATAAATCCATCTTACAGTTACCATAATCAGATGTATTGATGAAACTTATTATTATTTTCGGTTGTGGCAATCGTAACATTTTTTTGGTATGGATGTACTTGTGTAGACTAGCGTGAATATTCGATTTCTCTCCATGTATTCCATTAAAGTCTCAATATCATTGTATTTCGCCGATAAGCACCAATCGTGACGAATATGTTGAACGAGCATTCTAAACTGCAGTCATACCAATTTTTCTTAGATGAAAAAAAAACATTCTGCATTGCGACTTACTTTTTCAGTCTGCCAATGGAGACTAATTGTTTTGAAGAGACATAAACATGTGCCAACAAAAGTTAATAGAACATCGTAAAAGTCGTTCAAATTTCTCATACGTTTGAACAAGAATGCAATCTATTAATAAATTATATTGTATCTAATATGGGATAAATAACTTTTTACGTAACATTATATAAAGTAATTTGAATAGCGCAAAAATCACTAATAATTTTAGAAAATTTATATATTGTATTAAATTCCAATATTGATTTTCTTCTATAATTTTTTTCTAACTCGTGTACAAGAATTTATACCTGCGGCAGTAATAGAATCAATATACCAAACAATGTACAATAAAAAAGTTTCTTTCTGTTAGACGATGACTGCATTGGCCACAAGCCGAGAAATGACAACAACAGTTTGTTAACTTGAAAATATCGGGTATCAAAGACGTCCATTGGCTGATTCATTTTCAAGCGGAATTCTTGATAGCTGTAAGGTTTCCGCCAACCCTCCGCACGGTGTTCATTTGATATTCTCTTAGAGTGTCGATGCTTTCGCAAAAAGAAATATACATATAATATATTAAATTAAATGGAATAAGTAGTAAAGGGGAAACGCCTCCCGCAAGCGAGCGACACGCAGAGTCCTACAATTTTAATGCCATTGACATTGTGTAAAGCATTGCGTAAAGCAACACAGATGATAGCGTTAAATTCTGAATAATATATTCGTTTTTATAAAACATAGAAGACAGTAGTTATAGTCCGTCCGCTCCACATAGTCCATCGCTATATGTCAATTATTTTAGATATATATTTCTATACTATGAAATAAAAAATATTATCATTTATAAAAGTTAAAAGCAATAATTTGATTTACAGTAAACAGTAAATTGTGCAATAATGGATTGTTTATTCGACAGAAATATATCTAAATGAATTAAAACAATATCAAAAAATAATTCTATTGTAAGTATACAAAGATGAATATAAAAATATCTTTTAGAGTTTTGTATTCCCGAAATTTGAAAATGATAATTTTTTAAAATTATGATTTTATTTCGTGTAAAAGAAGTGATTTATATCAATACAAATTGAACATTTTAATAATGAACTATTAATAAAAAGCCTTTAAGAGAAGAGAAGAGAAGAGAGAGAGAGAGAGAGAGAGAGAGAGAACTGACGCTAATTATTGTACAAAACATAAGTTTATTAATATTAAGCTATTAAAATGCTTTCTATTAGAGTCCACGGTTAGAGTCCTCTTTAGTAATAATTGTTAATTGTAATACATCAATTAAAAAGACTAACTCAGTGAGATTTACATTAAGATATACGTAATTTACAAATATTATTTGGCCAAATACCATTTGGTGGATTATTACTGAACAGGACTCTAGGTGGGTCGAATTAATAAACTTATGTTCCGCACAACAACTAGCATCGCCTCTTAAAGGCTTTTTATTAATAGCTGATTTACTTCATTAGAACCTATACAATTTTGAAGTAATTTTAATAATGTTTTTATTAGTGCAAAGCAAAACGTTTAAATTTATGTATAATATTTAATACAGTTAATGAGATTTGGATAATACGAAAATAGTAATGATATTGATATCTCAGTTATGTATTGTATTTATAACTCCGTTATAAACCTTCAGTTACAATACTTATTGTAGTGACGTAAGCATCGTGAAGTACGATAAGGATATTCTTAAGATCTGAAAAATGTTACAATATTATATTTTAAATAATTACCGGAATAATATTACGTCACGTACCGAGCTAAAATTCTCCATCGACATTACGAACATATTACCAGCTATTAATTGACACGGCTTAGTAGTACGCAGTAAAGTAAATCTCAAAAGTTGTTTCGATCTCCTTGAAATCTTATACCAATCGCAGCTGTAACTATTAATGCATTTTACACTTTAGTTGTTTATGTAATTTTAGTCTACAAAATGACGACATTGATTACTTAATTGTTTAAAACGAAAAATAAATATATAAAACTGAAATAGATATAAAGTATGTTTTTTTCTGATTTTATATCCTTTTTTATTTAATATATTTTTTTATATTACTTAAATATTACTAACAAATGTAATTATTGTAAATTGCGTACATTACGTTTTGAAGTCTGCTGCTGTGATCGATTAATCTTTGAGAAATCAAACTTAGGAAATATATGTGTAATAATTGCGCTAAAGTAACAGCGAGAAGTCTGACAATTTCTTCCAGTTGATTGTCTACCATCATCAACTTAAATTACGCAATTTTATTAAACGTTTTGAAATTAAAAAAACATCATTTAAAGCTTCCTTGTGGTTCAAATATTTACCTGAGCCGCGCAAAAGCTCAAGGATATAATTACATTGCCCAGTAGAAAGAAAAATGATGTTGCATAGTTAGATGAGAGCACATCAGAATATCTACATGTAAAATAATAAAATAATGAAATAATTTAGTCTATTTATCACAATTAGTACATAAAGCTCAATTAAGTAAAACAATTTAAAAGATATCAAGGATTAAGAGCAAAAGCAGATTATTAGTTGCTAATATTTAATAATCCTTACAAAATAATATACATTAAAATAAACGTTTCGGCCATAATCTATTTAAACAAATCGAATATATAAACAATATTAAATCTTATAGGAGACCTAATCTAACCAAATCTAATGTATATCATGTAATGTATACTATGTATATATACTATGTATATATACAGGGTTGGCCATATTCGACAGAAAGATGTGGCAACTCACTGTAACTCGCCATGCAGGCTCAAGGCGATCATTTAAGAGATATCATATTCAACAAATAATGTACACAAATCTCCTTGAACCATATTAAATGGCTTTTATAATGAAAAGCAAAAAATGTGTTTTTTTTCCCATGATTAAAAAAAAAACAAAAAAAACAAAAAAACAAAAAACATCTTTCCGTCGAATATGACCCTTTCCGTCGAATATGGCCAACCCTATACTATGTATGTAGGTGATTAAATTTTATATAACATGAAGTGTCCGCAAGTTTAACATGAAATTTTATTAAATTAACTCAATAAACTTTACAAAACTGCAAACGACAAAAATTGTTAATTTTCTTCTCATAGAACCCTAGAATTGTTTTCAGAATTACTTATCAATTTTTTAGTACTGCATTTTCTCATTTTTACCAACATGAGAAAATACGGTATTAAAAAATTCTAAAAAAATTTTTTTTTAATTCTTAGAGCTCTATGAGAAGAAAATGAACAATTTTTGTCTCTTGCAGTTTTTCTGTAAAGTTAATAGAATTTGAGTAAAAAATTATTGAAAATCAATTTTCGGCAATTTTAAACAATTAATATTTTGTTAACTATTGCGAAAATTGCAAAATGGTATAAGACTTT